ATAAAGAGGTTCTCTTGTTCATCACTGGAACTTGCACGGTACACTCACCTGTTCTCTCTGAGGGCCACCTGGCTTTAGCAGGCAGGTGGCCTGTGGCCTCCAGGAGGGAGCCTCTCTCTCTCTCTCCTGCACACCTGGTGATGCACTCACTGATGTGTTTACACGCTCTCCCGAAAGTATGTGACCTTGGCCCTAGCAGCCATATGGCCCGTGGCTGTGTAGGCTCCACACACAGGCTCCAGGAGGGAACCTGGAATGCACAGCAGCCGGTAGTAAGCTAAGCTACCTGGGTGGGGACTACAACCAGTTAGGCACCACCTGCAGGCCCCAAAGGACTGAACTTTAAAGTGGAGCAGGAACTCTGGACACCGGCTTTTGTCTTGGCCTGAGAACAGTTGGACTTCTGCCAGGGCAGAAAGAGGAGATGGGCTTTGGGACCGGAGTCCGCCATTCTCCCAGACTGCGCAGCACCGAATGAAACCTCTTTCCTTTTGCAGCAGCACCTGCCTCACGAGGTTGGCTTGTGTGGCGGCGGCAGCTGACCTCCGTTTTCTGTTTAGTTGTAAGTGCGCTAATGGTTTTCTCTTTTCCTCCAGATCTTCTATCATCAGTAATGAGAAAACCTCTACACAACATAGCAGACAATAAAGCCAGCCTCACTGATAACAAAAGTTCTGAACCACAACACATATCCTATCGACACCGATAGCTGTGGCAGATCGAAAGCAGGACTGGGGACTCAGGACTCCAGGAAAAAGGGTCACCTCGCAGCAAGACTACAGGCAAGATCATTGAGAGCTGTAAACCAGGCTCCGGACCCATACCGAGGTAGCCTTGTTTTTTTAGGCATGTGCTTGGTTTAGGTTAGTTTCTTATGTCTCTGTGACTCTATTTCCTTTTTCTAAATCCAATTTCATTCCTTTTAGTTCTCTTTTTAAAAGACATTCAAGAGTATCTAAATAGTTTATTGGTGAATATTTGTATATAGTATTTGTAGGTATTTTAATGAGGACCTGTTTGAGATCAAACAGCTTTGTTTAATCTTCCTGAACATCTGCCCTGACCTGAATGACCAAAGTCGTATCATGTTAGAGAGGATTTTTTGATTCTTAAAAATGGAGAAAGTAGGGACAGGGGAGATTGACTTGTTCGAGGTCAGCCTGCTAATTAAAAAGATTTCCTGAATCACATGATTACTGTTTCCACTCCACTGTGCTTCCCCCATGAAATTGGATTCAAGTGGCTTGTTTTGCGCTAGCCAGTAGGGCTCAGTCGTTTGGAGTGTTGTCCCGTAAACTGAAAGGTCATGGGTTTGATTCCCAGGAAAGGCACATGCCTGGGCCGTGGGTTCGGTCCCAGTAGGGGTGCCCGCAAAAGGCAACCCGTCAATTATCTCTGCCACATCCATGTTTCTCTCCCTCTTTCCTTCCCTTCCCCTTTCTCTAAAATCAAAAAGCATGTCCTTGGGTGAGGGTTAAAAATAAGTAAAATAAAAGGGCTTGTTTTAGGAAAGGAATGCTCACTGAGGTTGTTAAAAAGAAAATAAAACAAAACCCTGAACAAGTGTGTATCTAGAAAAATAAATTAGCAATCTTGAATTATGTTCTTTACTTTTTTGTGTGTGTATTCAGGGACAAAGGAGAAATCAGAATCATTTGAGTTTACACTATAAAAAACTTGTATTTTCCCCTTTTCATCCTTTCTTTGTTACCTCAGCTGATTTAACAGAACTCAAAGAGCATGTGTCCCTGGGGATTCAAGTGCCAAGTTCTTTCACTCGGTGCTTATCAAACCACATTTTGGTACTTTATTTAAGAAATTATTTCATTTCAGTTGTTTGTTCAGTCTGTAAACCTAATAGTGCCCGAGGTATTGTAGTGAGTGATGTTCTGCTATGGCGGAGGTATAATACGCTAATTAATCCACTGGCTCTCTCCCGGCACCTCTGCTCTCCCTTAGCTAATTCCCAGAATGCTTCAGGCTTGGCACTGGTGACCCAGGTCTCCGGTTGCAGCCCTGGCTGGAAGTAGCTGTCTTCCTTGACCTTCTCTGCAGTGCTTAAGAACTGATAACTCAGTAGTCACTGCTAATCTTGGCCCTGTCTGAATCGACAAAAGTAGCCTCAGAAGAGTTGTTTCCATTTTCACGTACCCAGTTGAAAATGACTTTTTCAGCAACAACTGTGATAAAAACAAAGTACCAGAAAGAGGTAGCCATTCAGACCCCATTTTGGGTGGCACTAAAATTTGAGAAATTTTACTATTTTGTAAGATCCCAAAGTCTTAAGATCTCCAAACTGGCAATCCTGTATCAATACAGTACCACAGAGTATACCACTTAAAGTACAATTTTGTGCTGTAACCATGCTCTTGATTCGAACTTTGCTTTTAATATTTCTAGTTTATTGTCAGGTAATTGCTAACTGTTCATTTTCTGATGTTTAAACGTTTTTCCAAACAGCAGTGATAATAAATGGTATAGTTTTAATATGTTCATATGTGATAATAAGGTGGTACCTGTGTTGGCCCCAAAACTTTTAACATTTACTATTTTGTGAAATCCCCAAGTTTTAAGACACTACTTTAGAATGCACAGCAAAATACAACCTAATATAAAGTTGCGTTCTCACTTGGAGAACTACAGATGAAAAACCAAGTGATTTTCCAAGTGCACTCAATGGGATCTAGCAATCTGGATAATCCAGTCCAGTCCAACGTCCGACGTTTTGAGCAAATCTGAGCCAGTGTGGTCGCATGCAGCCCCTACATTCTCCTGCATTAGCTAGCGGACACTGAAAGTTTCAGGGTGGATGAGGATTAGCTATTCTCCTACAGTCTCTGTGACAAGTCAGGAAAACCAAGACAAGCGCAAGCCCAGACCAAACTGTTCTACATGTAGGTTTTAACAGACATCTACGGGCAAAACCTCAAAGGAAATGTATGCTGTTGTTCTCCATGCTCAGTGAAGCCCCACTTCTCCGTGAGGTGGGCAACTCTCCACTCTCCAGGAAAAGTCCACGTAAAGCGAACCTGATATCATTCCAGAGATGGGACTGTCCTGTCCAGTCGGCCAGAAGCAACCAGAAATCCTTGGACAGATGGCAGGAAGCAAGACCAGTTAGGGGTCAAGCTGCAGGCACCAGGCCTCACTAGACTGGCTCTTTCTCATGCAAGGATGGGGAGCCACCATGAAATAATTTAGTAAGTTCACATACGCTGACTACCTCTAATTGTACCAATGAGAACTGCTACCAATATCTACCATATTGATCAACATACTACTCATTTCAAAAACATTCTATTTCAAACATTTGCTCCAATTATCGAAACCTTTGGTGGTGACCAAGATGTGGACACCAGGAGCACTTGTGACAGTTGCCTGTAGCATTTTTAACTACAGCACCTGTCACCTCCCAGCACACATAAACTAGCTGCTGAAATTCTATGCCACGTCAAAAAATATATTTTTTGCCCATCTGACAAAAAATAGGTATACTTTTGACCCGTTCACACCCATTGTCATTTTTTTATCTGACATTGTAAGGCAAAAGAGGCCGGTGCCGCTGACTGAATAGTCCGTACTGCATGTTTTAAAAGTTCTTGAGGCACAGAGGTCGAAAATCACCAGTCGTCCACTCCCGGAGCAGGAAATCCATGTCAGAGCTGCCCCCATGCTGCTGGGGGAGCGTGCGACCTGACACCCGCATAAAAACCCTCACACATCACTGGGGAGAGAAAAGATACTGTGCAACTCCCCCAATTTCTCAGGACCCCAAAGATTTTGTTTCGGGTGGGGACAAAGAAAAGGCAGTAGGGAGACAGGGAAGAAGAGTGGGGGCGCCTGTTCTGAAGCCCCCGCACCCTGCCCTGTTCGGGTGCCCGTGCTGCCCTTCCTGCCCTTCCAGCGGCTGCACGGACCAAACTGCACGGACCTAACTCGTACCCGGGCTACGTGGTAAGGCACAGAAACGCCCAGGCTTCTTGTAAAGTGATTGTTGCAAGACCTCAGAACGTCCTGCGCTGCCAGAGCAAGCACGCCCCCTGGTGGCCTTTCATAGGAAGCAGAACGAAGTTAAACCAGTCAGTCCCTCAAACAGAACGCATGCAAGTATGACATTCTTATTAAATTAGTACCTGGATGTTAGGGTAATTTGGAAAGAATTAAATTCATTTGCTTCTTAATTCTAAATAGCTAGAATAAGTCTTAAATGTGCAAAAATGTCAAATTTTTATTAAATTGATTTATATTTTGATTTCTTCATAGGTTTTTTAAAAAAATACATTAGGTCAAAATAAATTCAGAGCTTAAAAATTGAAATTATATAGTGCCTAACGAGATGCTAAGCAATACTCGGACAGTGAAGGTTCTTTCATCTAGCATTTACTGAATGCCTATGACGTGCTAGGCGCTGTTCTGGGTACTGGACATGCCAGTGAACAAATAACTGCACTATTGTAAATGTGTAAGTTGTAGTCCTTGAAATGTTGATTAAATACTTCCATAGTTATGTTTTAATTTGTTCTGTTCTCCGTGTTTATCTAAACAAAAAATATTGGGACATTTAGATTTATTCCTTTTTGAACATACGCTAGGCTTTAAAAATTCCGGTCTGGCGCCGAGGTTGCCTGGGGGATGTGTTGGGTGTCAGGCATCTCCCTGGGCTCCACCCACAGAACTGTGCCTGACTGGGAGCAGGACTTTGCTCCAATGCTCTCCAACTACCCTCCTGGTATGCTGCTTTACCGCAGGGCATTCCAAATATAACCTCAGATTGTGGTGACTGTCACTTAATGGTTCTCAATCATCAATGGTAGGGGACACTTTTTTGGTGGGGGGGAAGGAGTGGTCACAGTGACTGGCCTAAGGAGGTACGAGGGGCTAGATGAATCCTGCAATGGAATGAGCGTTTCCCCATAAGATTGTCCCGCCCGGAAGGCCAAGGGTGCCTTCCCACCTACAGACAGTGAGCTGGTGTCACCTGGTACAGAAACGGCTTAAAGGGTTTTTAAAAAAAATATTTATTGATTTTAGAGAAAGGAGGGGGGAGGGGAGAGAAAGAGAGAAACAGAAACATCAGTGGGTGGGAGAAACATCGATTGGCTGCCTCCAATAAGCGCCCCAACCAGGGATGGGACCCACAACCTAGGCGTGTTACTGCCCTGGGAATTGAACCGACCTCTTGGTGTACAGGACATGCTCCAACCAAGCCACACCGGCCAGGGCCAGAAACTATTTTAGGTATATATTTTTTTCTACTAGAAAACAAGCCAGGTAATTTTAGTTATTATTAAATTATCTACATGCTGCAAAATTACTTCATGGCAGGTTACCCAAGAAATGCAAAAATAACTTCGTAACTGGCTTCCTACACCTTCCTTTGGTTGAGAAACTCAGGGAAACAGGTGTCTACTAAGTACTCACCGCACTGAACACTTTTGAGAACAAGAACATCTGTAGCTCTGAAGACTTTTATATCTTGTTCATATATTTCTTCAAAATACTTAAAAATAAACCATATACTTACTCAAAATTGTTTAGTGATCCCTAAGCTTCAGAAGCTTATGAAGAAATCACATAGAAAAGCAATCACTTCAATGCAATTACACGCTTGTCTTTTTAAGTGCCCTCTAACACAGCGGTTCTCAAACTTCAGCATGCACCAGAATTTCCAGGGGTGGGCGGGGCTCTTTAAACCACGACTGCTGGCCCACTGGCAGGGCCGCTGACAAGCTTCCAGGTGATGCCGATGGTGTTGGTCTGGGTACAAGGCTTGAAGAATCACTGCTTTAAGATACATTCTCTACTGAATCATCTTGTACATCTGGAACTAATACAATGCTGTATGTCAATTATATCTCAATAAAAAATGCCTCATATTAAAAAAAATAAAATGTGTTTTCCTAATTAAAAAATAAAAATAAAAAAGCCCTAAGTGGTGTGGCTCAGTTGGTCGGACATTGTCCCGCAAAGCGGAAGGTCACTAGTTCTATTTTCAATCAGGGCACATCCTTGGATTGTGGGTTCGGTCTCTGGTCAGGGTGCGTACAAGAGGCAACTGACCGATGTTTCTCTCCCTCCTTTTCTCCCTCCTCTCCCCTCTCCAAAAATACATAAATAAAATCTTTTTTTAAAGATATATTTTCCGTAATTCAAACTAATAAGCAATACTAATATACCTTTAATTTCTATAACAATAAATATATAAAAGAAGATTTCATATATGGCTCCATCAAATTGTAAATTTTCAGACTTCTGAAATGTCCTACTTAAATAGAATAGAACACGTACATAGTTTATTCATCCTGGCTCACTGTAATCCCTATGAGTTCAAAGACAGAACCACAGTACAGTCTGGAACAGGATCATCTGTGACCACATGACCAAACACACGGTGACTGGGGTACAGGGACCCTGCCCCTGTCTCTTCCGCGCTCCTCCCTCTGGAAGCCCAATAGGAATCACGGAGAAGGAGCACGTGACCGTGGTGAGTGTGATGCCTGTCACAGGGCACTGCCGTACCTAGGACGCGGACTCAGGAAGCTCTTCGTCGGGGCAGCAGTAATACTCCACAAAGCAGATCTGTCCGTCCTCGTTCCTGATCATGTACTGCAGCGAGAGGAACCCGCGGGTGTCCGTGCGAACAGACACCTTGCAGGACAGGACCAGTGCCTTTGTGGAGGGTTTCAGCAACGAGATCTTGTATCTGCGGGACAGCAAGTAAGAAGCTGTTACGTGGATGCACTTCACGCAGTGCTTGTGGCTCCAAGAAAAATAAGCCAAGAACTAGCAGGTAGCAAATATAAGGATAAACTCTCATACTTGTCCAGTGTGCTAATATTTTCTCATTAAAAAAATTTATCCACCATAGCCCCAAATCCTCAAGTAAACTCAGCATTCCACTATTCATTTTTTAAAAATGCTACACTTTCACAGCAGATTGAAAGTTTTGTTAAAAATCTGGTATTTAACCTCATCACCAATGGCAAGCTCTGCACTGAGAACTGACCTGTTGACCTGGGTCTGATTACAATGAAATGATTCCATCAAATCAGAGTCCTTGGGGTAGTCGAGGTGGGAGCTTCCTGCGTTCCCGAAGGTAGACAGCCTACAGTAGAAGATGAGGACGGCGTTTAGTCATTGCTCCGACAAGAGGAAGCCACATGAGAATCCAAATAGACACTTCCGTAACAATCTCACTTTAGTGAGTGAAACAGGTGTGTACACCAATGTTGACAACACTGCAACAACTGCCCTGATAGAGACCCCCACAGGATGCTGTGGGGTACAGGGGAGCCAGCAACCAGCAAACGGCGTTCAGAAATACCCGTCTCAGAGCGTCCAGGTGTGTGCCTTGATTTCATTACCTTAACGCTACTGACACTGACCTCTCCTCGTCCTCGAATCGGAACTACGTGACAGGGAGAGTGAGCTGAGGAGAGACAAAGACCCCGCCCGGGGGTGCTGCTCCCCAATCTTATTGCCACACCAGGCAACGACGGCTTCTCTGTATCTCAGGCTGCTCCTCGGGCTGGTTTACGGTTGTCCTCGCCCTACCACGGTTCGCACAGGGCAAGCACACGGGTGAGAGCCGCCCGAGCCCCACGGAAGGCCCCAGTGCTGGTCCCCCCCCCCCCCAAGACCCAGCTTTTCTCTCTTCTAATGGAACCTTTTCTCTGGGCCCTCTTGTCCCCACCCAGCCATGACGATGGTCCCCAAATTTAAATTCCCGGTTTAGACCGATCTCCTGAGCTCTGTACTTACATATCCAACCACTCTTTGGTGTGACAGGCACCTCAGATTTAACATGTCCAAAAAAACTCCAACTCTCCATTCCCCGCCACCAGGTCACTTCCCGTAGTGGAGGGGAAGGGTACCCATGAGCCATCCAGCCAGCCACGCTGCGAGAGATCCTTTAGGTGGGGGGCTCTAAAATACTGCTAAAGTGCCCGGAATTTTAATTCATATCACTGTTTAAGAAAGGGTCCAGCCCTGGCTGGTGTGCCTCAGTGGATTGAGTGCCGGCCTGGGAACCAAAGGATCTCGGTTCGCTTCCCAATCAGGGTACATGCCTGGGTTGCAGGCCAGTTCCCAGCAGGGGACCCACAAGAGGCAACCATACATTGATATTTCTCTCCTTCCCTTCCCCTGTAAAGCTAAATAAATAAAATCTTTAAAAACAACAAAGGTTCCACTAATTTCCATTTTGGTTACCAGTTTAACAGAACTTGAACCAAACTTTTCCCTGCCCAATGCCATGGAAAGGGCCTTCAGTTCTTCCAAAGTAGATGTGAAAGGACACTTTACTCATTAATATTCTGAAATATTTCAAAAGAGTAGCAGTATTTAAATCCTCTCTCTAAATTGGTTCTAACCCCAAGAATCTTGCCATTTCGTAATTTGTTGGGTCAAAATATCAGGCTCAGCTTGCGAGCTGATGCTGCTGTATTCCTGCTGAGCAGCACCGTCCCGTGGAGGGCTCGCCCCCACCGATCCTTCTAAGTATTTGTGTGTTGCTTCCCTAAGTGTCTATGTATATTATTTTGGTATTTAATGTCATGCAATCTTGTTTCTCTATGCTGTTCCACCTACTTCCCCTTCACCTTGACTTTAAGCTGTTTTTTCTCATAGTGCTAAATAAAGTAGATACGCACAGAGGAGACAATCAGTAGACAGTGAATGAATGAACTGTGGACAGAAAACATCTACTTCCTTGTACATCCCGTACTGACTTAAAAGGAAAGAAAAGAGGTACCATATAATACAAACACTTTTTCTAAAAGTTTAAGCCCAGTGTCCTTCACGCTGTAACTGGGTCTGTAACGGTTTAAGTAGTACAATGGTAAAGGACCCCTAGTTTATGAATTAGGAGCCTGAGCTACTCATCTAGAAACCAACACTACCTAACTATGAGGCTATTGACTAGTGCATTAATCTTCCTGGGTCTTAAGTGTCCTGATCAATAAAAGTGTGACAGACGAGGCGAAGCTCTCCAAAGTTCTTAAAATCCTGGGAACGTGGGTAATACCGAAAGCAGTGCATCCTTAGCAAACGTGTAAGGACAGAGATGGAGGAAACCGCGGCAGCTGCAGGTGCACCGCCTTCAAGTACCTGAAGTAAGGCTTGTCAGGAGACATGGTGATCTGCAGGATCTCACTAGTCATATCCAACTCGGAAAATGCCTCACGGAGCCCCTCGGACTGCAGAATAATTTTATTAACAACGTTGGTGCTGCAGAAATCGAAATCCAGAGTTTCCTCGGGCTCCTGGGTACTGATTTTACAGACTGTCACCACTCCTCCTTCTTCCAGAAAGAGCATCAGAGGGTAGCCGTAACCTTGGTAACACATGCGCAGTGCGGTTAAAGTCCCTGCAATGGAAATACATCATACTTTGGACTTAGTTGTTTAGCTCTGGGTTGGGCTTATCCTCAAATGATACGTAAAACTCCTCAAGAATACTTTATTCTACCCAATTTCTAGCACATATCTATGTCTCCCTCTACTCATGAAGGATCATCACATCTTCTCTGATGACAGCTTTATATAGACAACTCCAAAACTAAATGCAGGAAAACTGGGAACAAAATGTAATGTAACCCGGAAGTCATTTTCCAGTTTGCCAAAATACTTCAAGAAAAAACAACCACAAAACCCAAAAACCCTTATGGATTATATGAACATACAACTTTAGGATGGAGAGGCCACACGGCCAGACACTGAGAATCACCCAGTTGCTGCAGAGTGGGCCGGCCCCTTCTTGAAGGTCCAGCGAGGGCGGCCGTGGACTGCTTTGGTACTGCCCGCACTGTCACGGTGGTGTATTCACCGTAAGGGTCCTTCTGATCTTTACTACTGGGAGACATTCTTCACTTTCCCCAAATTTTAGGATCGAGTGGGAGATAAAGGGAGAATGGTCAGTGGTGGGCAGGGTGGTAACACTGCAAACCACCAGACAGGGAGGAATTCGACAGGACACTCCAGCCCTCCCTTCCTGAAGGATGGAGAGCCTCGGTGAGGAAGCGGGGGAGGTGGATGCTATTACGAAAAGCCAGCTGCGTTAGAAAATGTATAATGAGCAACAATGGAATTGTCTGTATAATATTAACATGTATTTTCTAGAGAATCATAACTAAAGTTTCCCTAGTTAAATCTCATATTCCTTTCCTATGAAATAATAGTATTATTCTGGGAATTCCTTGTAGTTTTATATCCACTGCAACCAAATTCCCAATCTCTAAAACATCCTTAAAAAATTACAATATATACATATTTTATAGGAAAGCATTTAGGAAAATAGACATAATTTAACCAAAAAAAGAAAAGGAAAAAACTTTCTGAATGCAGTAAACTAGGAGTTAGGAGAATGGGTTTCCATTTTTCTGTACTTGTCCACAACCTGTAATTATGGACAAGTTAGGAAAAAGAAGCAACTGAAACATAGTTTCACAATGTTGAAGATATTCAAGACGTGTTCAGAGTCTTCTTTTGGTCAGTTCAAATTTAAAAGCTTTATAAATTGAAAAAAGATGAACGTAAACACTTTTGCAAAAATGAAAGGAACCACAAGCACCTTTCAATACTGTAAAAAGTCAGAATCCATGATTGTGACCATGGAAAAATGATTTTGCAACTCATTTTCCAAACGAATGCTTCCATTACTTATGCTCTAATAACTTTTCTTGTCTTGTTCTGATCACTCTGGATAATGTTTTCATGGCATTATAATAATAAAATGGTTCACCTGGCACAGGATTTGATCCAAAAATAGATAAGCAGTCTAAAAGGACTGTTAAATTAATTCGAAAAGTAACAGGCTCTTCCTGAACTTTAAACTCTTGAAATATTCCAGCCTGTGGAAAAAAGTAAACATGAAAAAGATATTGAATGAGACTTAACACAAAAGGTTCTAGATTTCACTTTGTGTTAAAAAAACCAACAATATTATACTAATCCCATGAAAGTCATTTCTAACGCTCAATCAACACATCTTAAGCTTTTCCAACTCTCATCTATTAGAGTAACACTATTCCATAGTCAAAGGTGTAAAAGGGATTTTGGTCTCATGCAAAGGCTTGGGAAGGGCCCTTCATCTAGTTTCTTGGATCTGCTACCCACCTGTGATTGTCCCTGTCTCCTTTTGGGGCCATCAACACAGGATGGGTCATTTGGAAAATAGCCCAGCAGTGTGGGTAATGCATCAGTGATAGTTTCCAATGTCTTTTAAGGATGGGAACCATGTCTTACTTATCCCCGAGGTCATTCTGCGCACTTAGGCGTTAAAAAACATGTTGAATTATATCTGAAATTTGAACCATACCGGTATGACTTTGTAGGAACAAAGAGAGTATATTATAAACAATACAGGGGAAAGAAGTGTTTTTTAAGAAGGGCAGTAGTGGTAAAAAGCATACAGCCTGGAAACAAATGTTCTGGGTTCTCACTGATTGTTCGCCAATCCCTTAAACTGTGCCTCAGTTTCCACATCTGTAAAACAGGAGTAATAACACAAACTACCTCCTGGCACTACTGCGAGGGTTAAATGAGTTAAACACATAAAACACAAGAGTATTTGGACTCAATAAATCTGAGACATTATTATTCTTAACCATTATCTCTGTAAGACAATATGGGAAAAGAATATCACCAGGACAGAAAAAAACAAAATGTCCTATTGTTCTCTAAGTCGAAGACCTTCGGAACTCACCCCCCCGGGTGAGGAGCACCCTCCTTCCCCGGCCTACGGGCGTCCCTTACACACCTGGATAAAGGCGTTCGCTTGCACACACTTGGCGTTTTCCACTGTCACCTTGATTCCATTTTTGGTGGCGAAACACGTGGCATGCTCTCGGAAATGAATGGCCTTCAGGACAGTGGAGAGGTTCCTGACGTTGTCGAGGCTGGCCACCAAGCCGCAGTCATTCTGCTCGGGTACCCGCTGGGGCACGAGCGGCATGGTGCCCGCGCGGCCGGCCTGCTCCCGCGGGCTCCGGGCACCTGGGCGGATGCACAGTGAGACCCCCCGACACAGCCGGCAGGGCCGCGACGCGACCGCGCTGGGGGAACGTGGGGGGCCTGGACGTGGAACTTGGCGGACCGGGGACGGAGCCCCACCTCTGCCACTTAACTGCAACTTCAGGGAGATAGTAACAGTTTCCTCATCTTTAGTATGACGACAGTGACACAGGACAAGTTGTGAACCAGGCTCATAGGTAACCAATGAAGTAGCTCTCCTTGCTGGTTTCGCTACGTCAAACCGGGCCCACGCCGGAGCTGACCCGCGCCCCCGCCCCGCCTCTCAAAGAACAGGGGTGGCGGGCACCGAGTCTTCAGAGAGCCACCTCGAGTCCCAGACCTCCGGCTCACCAGCCCGCCCCGGGGCGGCATCTGTTTACTGGTCCCGGGAGCCCAGGGCGCGGAAACCCTACCTTTGCCGTGGGATCTGGACGCCTAGGAACCCTTCCCGGCCAGGTCACTGGGGAAGCGACCTGCAGCTCTCCGGGAAACCTGGAGGAAGTGAAGCAGCTCCCGCCACTCTTTTCAGATCGACGGCCCACCTCGGCCACCGTCACCACAGAGCTAGCCGAGGCCTAGAGAGGCAAGCGTGCGGCGCCATCGAGACCGGAAGAAGGCACCCTACAGCCGGAGGAGGGCCATAGAGACCGGAAAAGGGCGCGAGCGGCAGCGCCGGAAGGAAGGCCGTCAGCGCAGGCGGCCCGGCAACATGGCGGCCACTAAGAGGAAACGGCGTGGAGACCTGGCGGTTCCAGCGAAGAGGCCGAAAAGGAACGAAAAAGGTGCCAGGCCGCCAGCTAAGCAGCGCGAGAAGACAGAGGACGCAGAAGAAGAGGACAGAGACCGCATCCCAGGCCCGGTTTGCAAGGTAGAAGGGGCTCTTCCCTGGTTTCACCTGCGGCCGCTGCTTCGTGCGCCTTTCTTGGGATTGCCTGTCTAATTACGGCTCCATGGACTGCCGAGTTGCTTGGGTGGTAGGAAGGCTGCTTTTCAGCTCTCGGCCGGACTGGTCACAGCGTTTAATCTTCGTGCATGTGGCTGCGCTCTAGGAGGCGGCCTCCTGGGCGACTGCGCGGGCTTCGGAGCTCTTACCTGGCTCTCGGGAAATCGCCTTGTAGAGTGCTCAGTTCTAGTGTTCGGTTTTCCAGTTACCCCCACACCACCCCCTTAAAGGTATTTTTAGCTGTTGAATATCACCCTTAACAGGGACTGTTCTGTCACAGTCCACTACTGTCAGTCAGGGATTTTGAAGCTTGTTATGCAGTCCGTTAAAAAGGTACTGTCCTTGGAACTGTGACTTTGACTTGTTTGATTTTTAACTCTCAAGGGATAATGGAAGCTAGAGTAGATGGTATGAGTTTTAAATGTGTTCACCAAACTTACAATGGGCATTCTACGAAGTTAGGTTTCCCCCGCTTTGAGATTACAAAACTAGAACGTGATCTCTTTCGTCTGCCTGAATGTTGGAGTTTAGAAGGAAACTCAGGATTCATATAAGTTGACAGTCTTTATTCAAAAAAAGGTAAACGCGAGTTCTTGGACCTAATTTTCGTTCAACCGAGAGCTTCCTAAACTACATGGAAATCTGTGGAGATGTAGAGTGCGTGTGAGTTAGTGATTGCTGTGTCCCCCGGCTTAGTGTGATACTCTAGCACGCAGTCAGCGGTAAGTGCATGACCTTGTGAGATGCGGTGGCAAACACAAGGAAGGGAGTAGCTATGAAAGATGAGTGTAAATTCTAGTCTTGCTATTAACAGTGAGATTTTGAGCTCCTTTCTCACCTGCATGGTAAGAGGAAGGAAATTTGTTGAACTTTTGGTGAAGAAGCTAGTAGAGTTTCAGTAAATGTTAGTGCTCTTACTCTTGCCTTAAGGGCCTGGAAAGAAATACAGTATCATTGATCCGACTCACAATATGAAAAATTCTACTGAGGTGCAGAAGATAGAGATTCCTTTTACCCGAGGATAGTAGGGTAAGGGATCGTGAAGGAATTAGTTAGCCTTTGACTGGATCTCAGAGGAAGGGCAGAATTCCCATACTCAAAAATGAAAGGGGTATTTGCAACCCCCCCTGTTCTCTGACACCAGTGCCGCCTCTAGCTTCTGCACTCCAGCCGAAGGAGAGAGGGGGTAAGTAAAGAGGTCTCTGTGCGGTGGTTCCCACAAAGCAGGCTGCCTGCCAGTCAACCTGTGGTAAAGCACCAAGGAAGCAACAGGCCGCCAAAGCTACTTGCAAGAGGGCACCCTCTCCTGGAGGGGTGAAGAAACCTCAGCATTATAGGACTGGCACAGGGGCACTTTGGGAAATTAGATTTGATCAGAGGTCAACCGAACTTCTGATTTGCAAACTTCCCTTCTGGTGTCTGGTGTGAGAAATTGCTCAGGACTTCAAAACGGATCTGTGCTTCCAGACAGCAGCTGTTGGTGCTTTGCAGGAGGCGAGTGGGGCCTGCCTGGTTGGCCTTCGTGAAAACACCAACCTGTGTGCCGTCCAGGCCAGAGGTGTAGCAGTTATGCCGAAAGACACCCAGCTAGCACGCCACATACGTGGAGAAAGTGCCTAAGAATCCACTATGATGGGAAACATTCCTAACAAAATAAAATTTTCTTCTTCCTCTTCTTGTTATTGGTAGTTCTGAATGTTATTTTTTTTCCATGGGGTCAAAAGGTACCTAAGGATATGATTGCAAGTGGAAAATAAGGGACAGAAATCAGGTTTCAGCCATTTTTCCATTTTCACTTGTGAGTTTTTTAATATATATGCCGGGATATAAAGTATTATGAACAAGTTCAGCAGTTTAACTTTATAACAATATAAATAAACTTGATAAATTTTTCTGGACAGTGCCAGCATTTGGATTTTTTTTAAGCAAGTGAATTTCTTATTGATGTTAACTAAATGGTGCTTGTAGCATTTTTGTCATGCGGTAGATTCCATGCATTCATTGTACTTTTCTGAGTTGTCCTTCATACAAGTACGTTTTTCATGTTGTCTGCTTTCTGTGCTGTTTCTGTAAGTTTGCTATTAAAATACATTAAACTGTAAAAGAAACGAGAGGGAACAATACTAGAGAGAAGGGAAAACTGATGAGGTGTTGAAGTTTGGGAAATTCTGAAAATTTTAAAAATGGAGTCAGATTGGCTGAAGTGTGCAGTTGATTTGGGGCAATATGAGGTGAAAATGTAAATGTATTTTAGCGTTCAGTATTAAAGCTGCTGCATCATTTTGGACTTTGTTTTTCTGTTTAGAAAAACTTGGGAGGTAGGATGTTATTGGAGCTGCACTTTAAGGTTGAGCTGGTGCTACTTACCGTATCTCTTGGAGGAGCTCCTGGCTGGGAAGGCTGGCCAGGCTGGCAAGGAGATTGCAGTTGATGCAAGGTTATTACACTGATCTGAAGGAAGGCGGTGGGAATAGGAAAGGAATAAAAGTTGTAGAGAAGAGAAATTGACAGCGTTTAGTCGTGCTTATGTGAGAGAATAGGGCAAGTGGAAGAGTCAAGGCCTGGAGGACTGAAATGATGGTGATACCTTCATAAGAATAAATAACAAGGATGTTTACTAGATTTAAGGTTTAGTATTCTAGAGAATTTGAGATTAGTGGGACGGAGAGAGTTCTTTACCTTTTTGTGGAGCTGACAGTTGAAGCTATGGGAGTGATTATGAGAACTCTGGAGAGAACAGAACTAAAAGAAGCTGAGACAGACCCTTAGAGTCAGTTGGGGGAATTGGAGAGATTGAGGAAAAAAGAAACAAAAAGGGAAGGAAGCCACAGAGAGCGTTTCTGGTGGCAGTCGGGTCAGTGAACTCTGCTGACTGAGTTAAAGGTTTAGGTGAGGTTGGCGGGGCTTGCTACTGGGAAGCTTTATCTTTAAACAAACGAACAAGGTAGGTTCACTTTGCAGTTTAAAATCTATTAACATTTTATTTTTTTTCAGGGCAGGTGGAAAAATAAGGAGCGGATTCTCATCTTTTCTTCCAGAGGAATAAATTTCCGAACACGACATCTGATGCAGGACTTAAGAATGTTGATGCCTCATTCCAAAGCAGGTGCCTTTATGTCCTACTGTAAAACTTATGTTTATAAACTTGCCTATTTATGTATTTCCTCTTCAAGTCATAGTTCAGTTTTTCAGTCTTGTGGGGTCAAGAACCAGTACTGTTCCTGAGAAGTGTTTTTTTGGTGCTAAGATTTGTCCTGTTAACATTTTGTCAGAAGTGCTTTGCAAAATTTATTAAGCATTCTCTTTGTTAAACAGATGTAATTACTGAAACGTTCTTGAAGGTCCAGAATGCCTTCATTGTTCGCTCTCAGAGGTCATGGCTTGTCTTTTCGATGATTCAGGACTGCCCTGTATTGCTTTCTGCATTAAAAACAGAAACAAAAACTGTCCTAATCTGAAAATGAACGGCCCCGGAGTAGGGTTTCAGGCGTCTCAGTTGGGGCTCAGCCTCCTAAATGCCAGGCAAAGTGAAGCGAAGAACGTCCAGCGCTAAGTTCGCAGCGGGGGGCTGTGCCCTAGGTCCCGTGCCTGTGCGGAGCCGCTTTGGTTTTCCCTCGACGCCCCGACAGACATCATTCTTCGTTCTTCAGATCGGTGGTCCGCAGACCTGCTGTCTACCTCGGATCTCTGAAACTAGTAGGAGGAGTTGTAATTTGTGTCGGTATTGTTTTTTCCTTTGCTAATCAAAAATGAAGTTTTCGAGTTTCCTTTGGCAATTGTGACTTAGTTAAATTTTCATCACTGCAAAGTTTGGTTTAAGTGAGCGTATCTTAAACTGGAACATGGTATTCGGTTGTGAGGATTTTTCTACTTTCGAAAGGGTGCACCAAATACGTCAATTCTGAGGAAACACTGCTTAGATCGCTAATTATAATTCTTCAGGATTATTTTTAACTACTCATTTTTACATTTAAAGAATCAAGGTTTTTAAAGATGTCATGTGTTTTCAGATCTAATCATTTTGAGTATTAATAAAATGTCATTTAAACTGAAGAGTTTAAAAATACTTAGAAACCATGTGTGATTTGATTGAAGGTGCTTGGAAATCTTTTGTTTACTTGCTTTTTCTTTTTTTTTCTTTTTATAGATACTAAAATGGACCGTAAAGATAAGTTGTTCGTGATTAATGAGGTAATTTTAGAAAGTAAAGTAATATTCTGGGAATAATATTTAGGAACAAAATATTATGGAACACTAAAGATACTTTCTTTAAAAAGTCAATTATCCAATGACTGACTTTTTTTTAATAAAAGATTTTATTAAATCTCACTAATCTACCTTCTAAATTTCAGCAATACCCACTGCATTTTAGTTTAGTGCTTCTGTATATGTTGTTTCTTGATTGTTCTTATGTTTATCTCATTTCAACAAGCATATTGATATTTCCTGAGGACAAGAACTGTGTCTCAGTCTTCTCATTATGTGTAACACGAATGTATACCGCCAAGTGCATACTTGGGTACACATACAAAATGATCAATTAACAGGTATAAAATAAAAAAATCACTAAAAATATATTTAATCCTCGCCTAAGGGCATGCTTCTTGATTTTAGAGAGGGGAAGGAAGGGAAAGAGAAGAGAGGGAGAGAAACATAAATTAGTTGCCCCTGGTATGTGCGCTGACCAGGGACCAAATCTGCAACTGAGGCACGTGCCCTGATGGGGATCAAACTGGTGACCTTCTGGTTTACAGTCATTAAATATTTTTAAAAACCCACATCTTGCCAGTGTTAAGTGATGCGTGTGGTACTTGCTTCTAAGGTATTACAAAACCGTAATGAGGTTAAAATTTTTAGAGTGTTGAAGAGACTAACCTTACATTTTAAAGCAGATTTTTAAAAACTTAGAATTTTTGAAAGAGAATTTTTTTTTTTAGCTGTTAGACTTTTATTCACTTAGCCCAAAATTTTGAACCTCTGCTATATCATGGCATTACCCTGCGGGCTGTGGAAACAGTTTTGCAGGACAACGCCCCTGTCATCATGGAGGCGCACTCTGCTGGGGGAGGCAGGCCGTTAGCAAAGCAGGGCGTGGGGTGACTGGGGTGACTGAGCTCGGAGTGGAAAACAACCCGGTGTTGCTATGTTTATTCTAAGACCAGCAAGAAGAAAACATTGTACCTATGAATTTTTTAAGTTGTTAGGTTTAGAGTTTCTGAGTATTGTGTCAGATAGTTATGAATACTGCAATAGTGCAGACTTTATTTCTGTATTGCTTTTGTATATTTCTAAAGTGTGACTTTGTAAACCTTCAAGGTGTTGAAGTTTAATTCAACTTAAAATAGGTTTTGTATACTTGCTTTTCACTAATCCCTTAATGATTTCACAGAACTAAAGCACAGAAATGAGAGTGTAAATGAGGAAAATAACCCTTACACTTCCTGGTCTTAAAATTAAAAAAACAAAACAGTTAAAAGTGAGAATAACCATTATAAAGGATGTGTTTGATTCTCTAGGGACTGTGTTTTCCTAAGATTAGTGAGGCTGTTGACAGTGTGCTTTATCCCTGGGCCGGCTGTTCCATTCTTTGTAGTTTGTGCAGAGGGCTGGTCAGAAGAGGTCCCCAGTAGTCGGAAGTGATGCCAGTGTGCTCTGAAATCCTGGGCCCAAAAGAGCAGGCAGCCCAGTCTGCCTCGGTTAGAACACCTCTGAGGAACGAGAAAGTTTTCTTTCTGTGACCAGATACAGTTACCTTGATTGAGACCTTTGTAGCTCATTAATCTACTTAAATACTTTGGGGAGAATGCAGGTATTTTATTGAGTTGCTTTAGATCTCATTACCTACTTCATTTTTCTATACTTTGCTCCATTTAGGTTTGTGAAATGAAAAACTGCAATAAATGTATCTATTTTGAAGCCAAGAAGAAACAAGATCTCTATATGTGGTAAGAGAATGTTAAGATTTGGGTGGAACCTCTAAGGAAAAATATATGAATGTTGTGAACACATTATAGTATGATTTTTAACTATAAAGAGAAAGTAAACACTACATTCTAAATTCTAATTTATGGAAAAAGCTTCCTTTTTATTTTTAGGCTTTCAAATTCACCTCATGGACCATCTGCTAAATTTCTAGTTCAAAATAGTAAGTTGACTCAATTTAAAATTTTATGAGAAAATTGAAAAACTTGTGGGATAATTGTGCCAAAATTATAACTGTGTTTTTTTGTTGTTGTCTCATTTTTCTAGTTCATACCCTGGCTGAACTCAAGATGACTGGAAACTGTTTGAAAGGGTCTCGGCCCCTTCTGTCTTTTGACCCTGTAAGTGTTTCCTTTAGTGTGTGAAATGTAACTTGTTCTCTGCATGGACATCATCGTGGATATAGTTGTATGATTCAGTTTGGTTAACATAAAAAACAGTTTTAAACAAAGCACTTTGCTATTGTCAAATGACACGTTCACTTTATTTTTATAGGCTTTTGATGAATTACCCCACTATGCTTTGTTAAAAGAACTGTTAATTCAGGTAAATATCTTAAAGTATTTCTGGTAATATATTATAAATGGGTGTCATCCTTTGGACTTTTTCTGAACTCAGTAATCTAAAATTAAAACATGTTGGATCGTAGAATAGGAGCTAACGCATCTTTTTTTTAACTAGATCTTCAGTACACCGCGCTATCACCCCAAAAGCCAGCCGTTTGTGGACCATGTATTTACTTTCACCATTTTGGATAACAGGATATGGTTTCGGAACTTTCAGGTTAGCTTTAATTAATTTTTAGTTATGCTTTGAAATAAGTTAGGACAAGCAGTGCCACTGTATGTTTAGGTTTTTATAAAAAAAGAAATGGTCTGAAGAGCCATGAAGCAGTTGAGTTCCAGATTTGTGCTAGGTGCCGTAAAGTATATAGAAAAATGTACGCCTCTCTCATGAGGTTCCAACCCGGGGCAGGGGTGGGTAGTAAGACTTAGAGAACCATCACCTCTGTAGAGGGCAGTGAGAACTGTGAGATGAGTCACGCGTGTCTCGGTCAGAAGGGGAGGCGATTGTGGAAATCTTGACGAGGGAATTTGGCAGGGTAATAATAAATCTGCAGAGAGGTAGGAGAGAACATTAAAACAAAATTTCAGACAGCATCTGAAGCAAACTGGGCTCTTCGTGTGTTACTATATCGGATACCTTGCAAAGTGAGTTAAACATTTCCTTCTTAACCTCTGAGGGCGGGCATATTGGAATGAACATACAGTATTAGTGTTTGAAGTTCAGAAGTTGCCTCAGTGGGTAGCCATCCAAAAGTAAATTTGACCATGTACTGTACTTTTATATACCTTTAATTTCATTTGAATTATGTTTATAAAAACAACTTATGGGTTGATTCAAATTTTTAAAGGGTTTCCTATAGTTGTGCTTCAATACATTTTGTTACAGTAGTTGCACTTCTAGAAATTTATTTTAACCATAGATTTTCAAGAATCCATGCATTATAGGAATTGTATAATTCATATACGAATTGAGAGGCAAGATACGAATTGTAACAAATACAAGCTACTCAATTTTAAAAGGACACATTGAAAAACCTTGGTATTTTCTCTGACAACTGCCTGTAACTAATCCATTTCAGGAAATACTGATGGTTTGGTACCTTTCACCTCCATCTTAATTTTATTTTCAGTTTTTTAGGCACATTCGGAATGAAGTTATAGCCATTATACCTTTTAGATAGGTAGTATATCCAAACCAAAATGAAATGTTTCTCTTTTATTAAAGATCATAGAAGAAGATGCAGCTCTTGTAGAAATAGGACCTCGTTTTGTCTTAAATCTCATCAAGATTTTCCAGGGAAGTTTTGGAGGACCAACTTTGTATGAAAATCCTCACTACCAGTCACCAAACATGGTAAGCTGTTTTTGTGGGTTGGTGGTGCACCATGTCCCAGAACTCCTCTGGGTGAAAATAATTCCGTCAAATAATTACTGTTCTGTTATCTGTGAAACTGAATTTTGATTTTGTGGCATACAGACTTGCAAATTACTTTTTTTTCTAATGGTTTGGGGTTAAGAAAAATAGGGTTCATAAGTTAATGTACTTGCCATATATTAAATGTCTTTGTATTTCAGAAGCATCTAATTTTTTGGTTTTGTTTCTAGCATCGGCGTATTATAAGATCCATGACAGCTGCAAAATTCAAAGAAAAACAGCAAGTTAAAGAGGTGCAGAAACTGAGAAAGAAAGAACCAAAGACGGTTCTTCCACACGATCCCACTGCAGATGTTTTCATCACACCTGCTGAGGAAAAACCCGTAGAAATACAGTGGGTAAAACCGGAGCCAAAGGTCGATTTGAATGCAAGAAAGAAAAGGGTTTATAAAAGGCACAGAAAAATGAAACAGAAGATGAACAGAGGGAATGCAAAATGAATCACGGGATAACTACATTTTTCAGTTATTTTATATGTATTTTGTATGCAGTGTGTAAATAGTTTCATTATTCAGGACACATCTAATTAGTGTGGCATTTAAAAGGAAAAAAAGAAAGTCTTGTGACTTTAGTGCTTTTTATCTAAATAAAATATCACGAGAACTCACCAATTTCTGTCTCATTTCAAAGTTTATTTGGTATTACTAAAAGACTTTTAGTAATAAACTTAAGGTATAATCCTCTCTTGGATGACCTTTTGATTTAGCAAAGCTGAAGTTTAAACAGACTTATTGGGTCATGATTTGTAATACAAAGCATCTCCAGGCACTTGGAGAGCATAGACTTGGTGTAAAGTTGGGGTTGACTTGTAGGAAGAGAAGCATCTTACCGAAGTTTGAGTCCTTGACTCAGGAATGAATGAGGCCTCAGAAAAGCCGACCTCTGATCTGATTTTCTCACCTCCCAAAAGTAGAATAAAAATTCTTAAGTTTTGAGAATCAAATGAGTTAATACATGTGTCAAAAGCATTTTATTTTAGAAGCAATGGGTATAAATTACTTACTAAACTGCTGATAGTAAAAGAAAAATGGGGTATTATAGGGTCCTAGAACATTGGAATGTCTCCCCTTGTAAAGGTTACTTGAAGCAAAGAGAGCACTGGGTTTACCACCCTAGAAGGAGATTCTGGGGGCCAGTGGCCATGAGCAGTTCAGTGGCTGCTGAGGAGGTGGACAGATTATATGCATTATGTATATATACATATATCTAAACTAATAAAATTGGGTCATGCATGTGGTCTGTCATCCACTTATTTTTACACATTTCCCATGTCTGTGTTCTATAATATGGTTAGTAATTGCACAGTATTCTACTCCATATTGTAGCTGTATAATCTGTTTTGTTGGATATTAAGTAGTTATACCTTCTTTTCCTTCTATAGGTGCTTGCAGCAAACATTTCTATACATAAATTATTTTGTCCAACTCTTGGAATTTCCTCTAAGTGGAACTCAGGTCAGAGGTTGTGAATACTAAAACATTTTGGTTGCTCCCCTAAATAACGTACCTCACCAGGGGTTAGAGCCTTCATTTCTTTGTACCCTTGCCAGTGATGAAATACCAATTGGATAGATTAAAAAAATACAATTTGTTTTTGGTAGGGGATTGGTTTTCTTCTGTGACTCATCTTGTTTTGGGGTGGTGGTGATTTTTTACTAGTTTGTAAGAGCTCTTTTATATAGTAAGGTGGTTCTAGACATCTTCACTAGAACAACCTTCACTTTCTATTTTAATTTTGCCTTTATTTTAAATGTAGACAGGATGAACAATTTTTCATTATATTTTATTTTCTCTTAATTTTTTGCTAAGAAAGTACGTAATCGGTCTATCTTGAAATAGTCTAAATGAGGCTTCTTGAAATCAAAATGATGCAGGTAGTGAAGGTCAGGCTCCAGTATACTTGTGTGTGGCCAAGGTGGGCCAAGTCTGTTCAGCAGGGAAAAAAAGCCATTATTTTAGGCAATTAAATCTGGCCTTGGATGAAAATAAGGTAACTGCATTCAAGATGTTAATTATAGGTTATAAACCTGAATCAACAAGTTGTAAGTTTGAAGACAGTATTTTTTAGTTAATCCATTTTGATGTGTGTGTTGTAGAGTTTTCATGGAACTTCCAAGTTAACTTTGATAATCAGTTCCCATATATATATTCCTCTTCCAAATTCCCTTTCATTTATATAAATATCTCATTTGAATCGGAATTCCTCATATCTTAAGTCCATGTATATTTAGAAGCTAATGTGTTTAATGATGTTTCTTTAGACTGAAATTTATACCCAGTGTAATTATTAAATTTCCTATGCAATGTTATAGGCAAAAGTAGGTCTCTTTTCCTCAGGAGAAAAAGGAAGTGACTCAGGTTATAAGCAAAATCAGGTGTAGTTAAAGGAAGAAGAAAGTCCTTTGTCACTTTTGTTCCTGCCCCCCCCCCCCGCCCCATTCCATTCTCAGATGAGGGAATATTCACATTTTTTCCCCTGCATTCAAACTTCTCAGTTCCTGTGCATTACCACTTTTCAAAATGAGGCTGTATAGTATCCTCTGGAAAACAGGCAAATGTATGAGTTCCAAGTGGAGATTTGGGTGGACCATGGTATGTGAAATAACTGGAGGTGTAGAGTTGGTTGGTTTTGATTGTGCCTGGAGCAGGATATTGGGGACAAAGGGACACTTCCTAAACTTTGGGTACCCCAACCCTGTACAACTGAACTTGCAGAGCCAGCCTCTCTCTGACCACACATGGTTGACAAATGGAACTGCCTAGCTGATGTGTGTAAACATTACACACTCCAGTGAAGTGTACTGGTGAGTCAGTGCATTTTAATGACAGGATGCTATTTAGTCACCTTGTCAAATTATTTGGAACAGTTGTTTAAGATCTGCCATCCTGTAACAGTGTATCTGTGAGATCAAGGGAAATCTATAGTTAAATACTATGCTATAACCGAATTCTTAACCTAAGCAAACTTGGAAGTGTAGGATGAGAGCCCTTTCCCTACTCCCTCCTCTTCCCCGCAGATGCTTTACCTTTGCTTTGCCTTTGTCCTGAGCTCCGAGGGTCCTTTGCCTCTGTAACTTGTTTCCTGAGCCTGCGCAGCCCAGCTGGCTCACCTCTGCTACCTCTGTAACTTTCTAAATAGGCATTCTCTTATAATTTGAAAAAAAAAGTGATGGATGGATGGGTCAGCACAATTTCATCCATTAAACATTTAGTATGTTATATTAAAGTGCTGATATTTCCCTTAAATTGTTTGTTTAAAATCAGCTTACTTGCTGTTATTCCTCATGCATATTGGTCAGAATGGAAGATATTAGAGATCTCATTAAGTGGTCGCTGAAGAGAATTGGAGAATTAGAAAACTGGTGTTTTTGAATTGTTCAGTCCAACCGAATCCTGCTGTTGACTAGTTCAGGAGGCTCGAGCAAATCACTGGCCTGCTTTGGGCCTGAGCTGCCTCCTATGTGAAAACTTGGCTCAGTTGAGAAATTACCAGAACCACAACAAGATGTTTTCCACTATTTTCGGCCACCTATCAGCCTTCAGGACGGCTGACCAGTTGATACCACTCTCACCGACCACCCTCTGTGGCCCTCACAATGACACACACCGTGGCCCCGCCTCCCACCTGCAGCAGGCCCGCCCCGCCCCTCCCTCCTCGGCCCCGCCTCCTACCCGCGCCCGGCCCCGCCTCCTACCCACGTCCAAGCCCCGCCTCCCGCCGGGCTTTTTCCGGCAAGGAGTCCTCCCTCCTCCCATGCGGAGTCGCGGCCGCCGGCACCGCCCCCTCCGCGCATCCGCGTGCCGCAGCCCGCGCCGCCAGTCTCCACCGCGCGCCCCCGCCGTCCCGCGCCGCCGCGGCCGCCGCCGCCGCCACCGCGCTCGCTGGCTGGCCCAGTGCGGGCGCCCAGCTCCCGCCGCAAGAGAGGACCATCAGCGCCACCAGCACTTTGACCCGGGCCCGGGTCCCAGCTCCACCCCGGGCCCTGGCCCCACGCCTCGCTGGGAGATGAAGTGTCACTACGAGGTGCTGGGGGTGCGGCGCGACGCCAGCGAGGAGGAGCTCAGGAAGGCCTATCGGAAGCTGGCCCTGAAATGGCACCCGGGTAACTACTCTGCAACCGCCACAGTCCCTCGCAGTCCCCGGCCTCGCGACCTTTTTCACCCCTCTTCCCGGAGTAACTCCGGGAACAGTGCTGTGCCTCGACTTACCCGCCCTAGAGCTTCCCCTGCCCAAGAAACTGTGCCCAGAACCCTGTCTGGCGGTCCTTGACTAGGTGGCCCTTGTGCGTTCCTCCCAAAGCGCGTCCTCTCCTCCCTGCCCCTCGTGGGGCGCAGCCCTTCACCCCCAGGCTTCGCTCGAGCTCTTGGCACTTTTTATCTTCCCAGACACCAGTCCCCTTCTCCCAAAGATTCATGGTTCCTGCACTGCTGCTCGATTGGGAAAGACAACATTCTCGAAACTTCGCTTTCTCCTACCCCTTCGCGGATCCCGGGAGGCAAGGGGAGTGAGGAGTTCTAAACCCAGTCCTGCTTCTGGCTTGTGCCTGCCGCTCCTGCTCCTAGGCTGCCCTTACCGCCGCATCCCCGCTACTTAGGTGTAATTTATTCCCCTGTCTCATTGAAATTAAGGCAGTTACTGGGATCACCCTTCTTAGTGAAGTTTGTATGTTTACTTAGAAGTATTCCACCTTTGAATGTTTCATTTGGTTGTAGTACAGGCCTGTGTGACTTTTGTGTAATAGTATGCTCTTCCAGACTGGGGAACTAAGGAGAGAGTGGCTTTCCTATTAGCACTGATCAGTAAGCATGTTTCTAGTCTCCAGTTTGTGCAAGTCACTACACTGTAGATTCTGAAATGCTAAGGCAGACCTCAGTCTTGCTGGGAAAACATGCCTTACACACATGAAAAGTTAAACACAAGTGCCAACGAAGTAGCACAGTGGGTGTAATTGGTGATTGGAGTAATAGAGTAACTAGTAGTGCCCCAGGAATTTTGGAGGAGAGGGTGTTTTCACTGTGTGCTGAGAGGTGGTGAGGCCTTCCCCTGGCAGAGGAGCCTGGGTTGTAGCTGGATCCTGGGGGAGTGGAATGGGGAAGAGTGAACTTAGTCGCAAGGGGCAGAGCACGTGGTGGACAGAAGGTGGTCCAGGGCACAGCTGGACTGAAGGCAGTGTTTGCTGGAAGTCTGCAAACGTGGGTTGAGAGAAGGCCTGGGACCCAAAGTCAGAAGGTAAAGTGTGTAGTTGATGGAACAAGAAGTACAGGTCGGGGTTTGTTCCCAAAAGTTCTAATGCTGACTCGCCAACAGGAACGAGAAAGATCCGATCAGTATTGGCAGGGGAGACATAAATGAACTATTCATCACAGCAGGAAGTCAGTAGCTATATCCACAATTAATATATCTGAACAATGTAGAAGCATTAGAAATCGAGTTAGGAATTAGAAGAAAGTTAGAAATGTGTGACTTTGTGGGTGGAAAGGTGTGAGGAAGAATATTAATGCTTGCAACCAAATGCATATTGAAAACATTATCGTATTCTTTATCAGCATTGGAACATTTTCAAGTAGTAGTTCTGAGATTAAGTTGTAAAGAGCCTTGAGTTTTAGGTTAAGGACTGTGAAATTGGTTTTTCCAATAATGGAGGGTTGAGGCTGGTTTTATTCAGATGCTCTTGGAAGGAACTATGAAGGCAAATGAGAAGACTGAGGAGGGTCGGAGGCAAAGTCAGGCAGAGTCCACCCTGGGAAGGTAGGGGCCCGGGTCAGGCTTGGGGTCAGCGGGATGAGTAAGGCTGGGTTGAAGAGATGCTATAAAGGGAAAATTACCACATTTGGTAATTTGGTGATTAGTTGGAAATTGGTGCAAGGAAGAAATATACACAAATATTACTAAAATATCTGTTAACTACTTTGAAACCAAACCTGTTAGTACTTTAATGTGAATATCTTCTCTGAATGCCTTAGTTATAGCATCCTAAACATCTTTTGGTTTGGAGATGATTTAAGGAGTAAGTACTCTCTGAGGAGATGCATGATTATGATATGCTTTCCTGGCTCATTAGCTTGTTAGTCTATCATTCAACAAATGTTTAATTTCATGTACAAGGTGCTGTGTTAGATGTTTCTAAGGTTAACATATGGGCTTGGCTTCCAAGAATAATCTGTAGCTCAAATAGAAAGGCTGCCCATGTTTCATTGTAGAAAAACAAAAGAAAATACCTTTATTTCTTTTT